GGGAGTGAGGAGTTTGATAGGAAGTTTACAGGAGAACTCAGGTAGGACCCTAGCGGAGATTATGTTAATATAGCGTCCAATGAGCAGACATGTACATTGTAACACAGGAAAATCTAAATCTGCAACAAGAAATACAGTAGTCTTGTCACTCTGCTTACTATGCAGTATGACAGCTATATCAAGATATTGGATGAAGCGCTCTGCTATAATAATGCTAAAAAAACAAAATTTTATACACAAATGTAAAAGTGACTAATACTTAAATAATATATGTGCTAAAATTATATAAAAAATTCATATAAGACCAGTCTGCCCCCAAATGGCTAAAACTGGTTATACATGTGCACACACAGCAAAAATAGAAAGTGACCAGGTGCTTGGGTACATAAATAGTGTCTTAATAAATACAAAAGGTTTTAAAATCACAGTGAAATACTCATAAAACGTGCCAAGTGTTTAAATAACAATCAATATACATATAATATAATCATGTGCAAAAAACATGCTATCACTCTTCTGTGAAGAAAATATATATATATATAGAAGTGCTTTTTCATTCAAATAGTGCTCAGACCAAAGTGTCACTCCAGTGAATCAATCCTAAATATCCAGAGTGCCTCCTCACCTCCAACATTCGACCCCTAGAGGTCACAAATCATTTATTTAAATGATGTTCCAAAAACCGACATCAGGATATAACTTGCCCCACGATTCAAAACCTCAATATATACGATGCCTCAGCCATATGTCCATGGACCATGGAAGATTTAAGCACAAAGAGAGATCTCCATAGCGCAATATGCAGTTTTATTATAAAGAAAAAAGCAGATAGAAAACTCACATGTTCTTAGAAGTGTACAAGCAGTTTCCCCATATCCTATGGGTGTAATAGGAAATCGTGTTTGCCGAAAACCGGAAATACGTCACCGGAAGTGCATCACCGAGCTCCACCCGGAAATGACGTCAATGAGCTCCACGCGTTACACCACTGTCACGTGGCTTCTTCAGGATCCTGAAGAAGCCACGTGACAGTGGTGTAACGCGTGGAGCTCATTGACGTCATTTCCGGGTGGAGCTCGGTGATGCACTTCCGGTGACGTATTTCCGGTTTTCGGCAAACACGATTTCCTATTACACCCATAGGATATGGGAAACTGCTTGTACACTTCTAAAAACATGTGAGTTTTCTATCTGCTTTTTTCTTTATAATAAAACTGCATATTGCGCTATGGAGATCTCTCTTTGTGCTTAAATCTTCCATGGTCCATGGACATATGGCTGAGGCATCGTATATATTGAGGTTTTGAATCGTGGGGCAAGTTATATCCTGATGTCGGTTTTTGGAACATCATTTAAATAAATGATTTGTGACCTCTAGGGGTCGAATGTTGGAGGTGAGGAGGCACTCTGGATATTTAGGATTGATTCACTGGAGTGACACTTTGGTCTGAGCACTATTTGAATGAAAAAGCACTTCTATATATATATATATTTTCTTCACAGAAGAGTGATAGCATGTTTTTTGCACATGATTATATTATATGTATATTGATTGTTATTTAAACACTTGGCACTTTTTATGAGTATTTCACTGTGATTTTAAAACCTTTTGTATTTATTAAGACACTATTTATGTACCCAAGCACCTGGTCACTTTCTATTTTTGCTGTGTGTGCACATGTATAACCAGTTTTAGCCATTTGGGGGCAGACTGGTCTTATATGAATTTTTTATATAATTTTAGCACATATATTATTTAAGTATTAGTCACTTTTACATTTGTGTATAAAATTTTGTTTTTTTAGCATTATTATAGCAGAGCGCTTCATCCAATATCTTGATATTTATTTTATGTGTCCCATGGTATAGGGTGTAGATGATAGCAGCTAGCTACATTTAAGAAGTCTGTGGAGCGCAGGTGGATATATATATTTTTTATTTAGTATGACAGCTATGCCTGAATTTGCAGAGCGAATGAACATATATGTGTTTGGATGGTGTATTTAGATACACTTCTTGGCCTTTTGGCTAAGATCAAGTCTAGTAACTGTTCTTATCAGTGTTTGAGTGCTTGCCCATTTTTCAGTGCAGCCAGTTTAGCTTCATTTAGGGAAAAAATAATTCCTAGGGCTACAGTGTGAATGAGCCCTTTGTTCCTGTGGCTGCAGCCGCTTGGAGCTTCATGCAGGCAGCCTATTTTAATGCATGGGGACACAGCAGCTGTAAGGACACAGTAGGTCCTAATTGGACAGGCGAGTGGGTGCATGGCCCCAAACGCAGGCAGTGTGATTCCAGGGCTGCGCATTCACACGTCTGTCAAATTAGGACCTGTGGCTGTGCCCTTACAGCTGCTGTGTCCCCAAAGAGTAAGTATTATAGGATGCTTTGTACTAGTAGGGAAGCTAGACCCTGGTGCGCATCACTTTGCTGAGATGGTCAGGAGTCCGAGCACCCAGAGCATAGCTAATAGAACCCCCATATCTCCACCGCCACTCCGGAACACGGCGAAAGTGAAAGAAGACAGCGCACTCCAGCTCCCATCTACTCCAGCAGCTAAAGTCTAGCTGTCAGAGCAGACAGGAAAACAAGGTTCTAGAAGGAGGAAGGCTATAGTGGTTGAGAACCAGTGTCCTAGGTAGCTTCTAAATGCTGGAGTGTCAATGTGAATGAGGAAAGCAAAGTCTGCTTGAAGCAGGTCAATGCATGTAAGAAGGAGGTCAATAGCAGATCATATGTTCCTGTCAATAAATTAAAAATTAGCTTAGTACCTTCTCACACTGATTTCAAACTGATGCCATCAACATAAGCCCAAAAGATTTTATTTATAATACAATTCTTGCCAATGGATATTTCTAACAGTGCTGTTAGAGGCCAGTGTGTTCAGGAGCAGCAGCGTTTTGGCAGAAAAAATGCTTGATGCATGTAAATGTGTCTAAATACAAGTTAATGCTAGGTGCATCAAGGCCTTAAGTGTTAATTCATTTCAATGGCCAGAATATATTAGTATATTTTTTTTTTACCAAAATGCTGCTGCCAGAAAGAAAGGTGCCCCATGTGCATGAGGCCTAAAAATGATCTAATGGATAATTCTGAATCAATTCTTCCCCCAAGCAGCATGCTTTGTTAATGTTCTGTAAAAGAGGGAATAATCAATTGAATATAACTTTGCAAGCACATCAGTGAAAGCAGCAATGCATCAGATATGGATAAATTGCTGTAAATGTGTTCTACTCAATACAAGCTCTCTCTGAACTGTGGGATGAACAGTTGCTGAGTGCTCCCCTTATGATAGACATTGTAGGTATAGAACCTACAGGCATGAATTGCCTGTACAATAAATTAACCTATCTCACCAGGGTGGCCCCTTGGTTGTCTGTTCTGTTCAGGTCCTGTCCGGCTGATACCAGCAGTCTGATGTCACTTAGCATGTGACGCTCCGGAGCCTGGCGGGCTTCATTAACCATTTCTTGTGTGATGCCTACGGGAAACAAATTGGTTAGTGAAAGGTAAAGGCTTTAATTTTTTCTGAGTTAGTCATTAAGTTGAAAAAAGTGTGCAGTTCAGGAGTCCTGACTTCCCTTGCTGCATGCTTGATCTAATTCTGTGACCCAAAAGACTCTAAAGTAAACCTTCCTAGGAACAGACACCACATCATGCTTCATATTACCTTTATTGCTCAAAAAAGTCTCTTTGTTCTGTTTTCTGATTTATTTTCAGTTTATTATTGAGGTTTTAACTTTGCCTTGTGGCAAAATTCTACCAGCTGCCATCCCACTGCCATCCAATAAGACTGCCCTTACTGGACACCATGGCAGCTTTATTTGCAGCTGACAAGCCTTGAAGTCAGAGAAAGTCAGAACTTAGTAATTAAAGTGGAACTCCACAAACACAGTTTTGGTTCTGCTGGACAGGTGAGTGCGTGTTTTTAATTTATCCCAGCATGACAGGTACAGAGAAATGGGGGGTGATGTACTAAAACACAAATCTATTATATTGCAGCTTAGATGTGGTGAGTTTTTTTCAGGCAAAGAATATTTTTTAAAAGTACAGCTATCTTCTGTGAACTACAGAACACCTCTTTCCTAGGTGATGAGGAAGAGCATTAGAGAAGGGGTTTGTAGTCCCAATCAGGAGAGCTGCCTAGGGTGACAATGCTGCTTCTCCATAGATACAGTACAGTGAGTGAGTGATTTCACTGCAGGAAAGGAAGCATGCTATGGGCAGGATCACCAGGTAAAATTAATGGAAATGTCTAAACAAAGACAATGAATACAGCCATCAAATCTTAGGGCTCATTCCAGGGGAGCTCAGCCCCATGCAGTGACCAGAGTTGTTTGTTCACTTTTTTTACTGCCACTAGACTGTGTGCACCAATCCCTGTGTACCTGCAAACGCGGCTTCTACAGATGAGTCTGTACAACCGATGCATACTCATTCTCATTCCGTGATCTGCTGCACTCAGCTCAGTGCTAGTAAAAAAGTATACAAATTGCTATAGCCACTGCATAGGGTTGACACCATAAGGAATAGTAAACTGTAATACATAACATTTTTGTTTTTGGGTTCAAATACTCTAAACCAGGGGTGCTCAAGCTGTGGCCCTCGGAGCCCTCTGATGTGATCCTTGACCTCAAACCTGGTAAGCTCATGCCCGGGTTCAGAAACCCATTGATCCCGATCTGGGCTTGCCGACCTGCCATCCCAGAGCACCAGAGTGCATTGAGTCAGTGCCAGAAGCGTAGAAAGCAGGTGGCAGCATAGAGAGCAGGAGCCACATAAGCCAATGCTTCCTCTGTAGCGCTGGCTCCTGTCCCAGGCACAGTGATACCAAGTGCACATTTCGCCTGGGACCTTTCTAACAGCCTGGAAATGGAGAGCGATGCCAGCAGAAGCTGGAAGAGGGTAAAAAAAAGGTCAGTGTATTAAACAACACATACACTGCGCTTTCTCAGTGGGTTTATGAGCACTTAAAAAGGATAACAACTATTAGGCTGCTTTCACACTGATCCATGGGTACAGCGCAGTGCATCTGCAGGTTATCTGCACTGAGCCTTAGACTTCTATTACGCTGACAGCTCGAGAGGAGAAGAGAGCCGGTAATCGACTTTCCGCGGAGGGGACATGTACACTGATCATCAGGGCACTGATGACCAGTGTGCCCTGATGATCAGTGTAGCCCCATCAGTGCCACCTGTCAGTGTCCATCGGTGCCTTGTGTCAGTGCTCATCAGTGCCACATCAGTGCCACATATCAGTGCCTACCAGTGCACATCAATGCCACATATCAGTGCCCATCTGAGCTGCCTTTCAGTGTCACCCATCAGTGTCAGTCAGTGCCATCTATCAATGCCAATCAGTGCCACCTATCAGATCCAGTCAGTGCCGCCTATCAGTGCCAGTCAGTGCTGCCTATCAGTGCGCATCAGTGTCGCCTGTCAGTGCCGCCTAACAGTGCCAGTCAGTGCCACCTAACAGTGCCAGTCAGTGCCGCCTATCAGTGCCAGTCAGTGCTGCCTATCAGTACCATATATCAGTGCCATATATCAGTGCTGCCTTTCAGTGCCCATCAGTGATGCCTGTCAATGCCAATCAGTGCGACCTATCAGTGCCTCCTCATCAGTGCCCATCAGTGCAGCCTATCAGTGCCCATCAGTGCAGCCTCATTAGCGCACATCAGTGAAGGAGAAAAATCACTTATTTACAAAATTTTATAACAAAAACAAAGAAAAAAACATTTTTTTTTTCAAAATGTTCAGTGGTTTTTGGTTTGTTTAAGAAAAACTAAAAAACCCAAAGGTGATTAAATACCACCAAAATAAAGCTTTATCTGTCACAAAAAAATGATAAAAATGTCATATGGGTACAGTGTTGCATGACCGCGCAATTGTCATTCAAAGTGTGACAGCCCTGAAAGCTGGAAATTGGCCTGGGCAGGAAGGGGGTATAAGTGCCCTGTAGGCTAGTGGTTAAAAGCGCACCAAAACTGAATGCAGGAGGTTTGGTGTGCTTTCAGAAAGTGTACCACACCAACAAAATATAATAGAAGTCTTAGGCAAAGCGCAGCCAACCTGCAGGAAAGCCATCGGTGCACTGTGCTGCATCCGCCGGGAAAACTGCTGCGCATCAGTATAAAGCAGCCCTTTAGGGGGCTCAAGACAGTAAGGGCTTGATTACATTTGCAGTTTGGGGGGCTGTAAAACCCCATAGTTGAGACGTTTTTACCTCCCCTCTCCCAACAACTGGCGCAGCATCAGGGGTTGCAGTGGCAACCTCACCCCATGCTCCAGGTGGCCCGTGCGGCCTCCCTGTCACAATCTGTTTTACACTTGGACAGGATGGGCGGTGACATATACAAGAACCAATCCTCTCCATTTTCCTCCTGAAACCGCTGAAAGCCAGCCTCCCCTCCTCTCCCTTCTGCTGGCATTCAGCGGCTGCAGGAGGATAATATTCTTAATGCTATTCAAAATAAAAATGTTAAATTCTGAATCATTTAATTTAATTGTGGCGTACTACTGGTTACCAAATCAATTACGTGGCCCTTGCTCTTCAACAGGTTGAGCACCCTGGTCTAAACCTTGTTTACCAATCACATATGATATTGCTGAGATGGGTGGCATAATATATGAGATATATTTGGCCAGTGATAGCAATCCTGTATATGTGAATGTTTGTTTGTTAGTCATTCTTTCATACAATTTGAGTTTCAGTGGAAGCCTGTAAAATGCAACCATGGGAAGTGAAGGTTGTAGCAATTGTCTCTTTTCACCTTTGTACGTCATGAAATTCTCGATGACATTCAGTGTGGCTTCATCCTCACACAGATCATACACCATGTTGCCATCCGCATTTACTGCCAGCAGATCTGCTCCACTGAAAGAGACAAATGACTACAATGAAACATGGTTGTTGTGGACACCTGTAATGTAAAGGGTTAATCTGCTAAATAACATATCTCAATTTTAAATAGATGACAAACCAATCTACTTATTTTAAAAGAAATGTAAGTGTCTGTTTGTTATTATCTTTTGCTCAGCCCTAGTGTTGTAATAAGACAAACTAATTGTAAAAGCAGTGAGCCCATCACAGGACCGAGGAATGAGATTCCTGTCGGCATTTCACGAGAAAAGAGAATACAGAATGTCTTCAGCTGCCAAGAAGTGAAAATTTGTTCTTTGGCAGTTTTTATAAATTTATAGTTGTGCGCAGACTGAAATGGAATGGAAACTATTAATTCTTTACCAGCTATATATGTTATGTCATGTTTTATTGAAATGGAGTTCCTATTTTAAAATGCCCTTCTGCCTATGAATCATGTAACAGTGTTGTTACATTTTAAAATGTAATTGCTCTCCAGTGTATCAGTAATCAAACCTATTGATTAAAGTACCCATAGGTTATCAGAGATTCCAGATGACTTGACCACCCTGAGACACTCTACTGCACTGACTTTGCCAAACACTCTATAGCCTGCTGTAGAGAAGGTCCCTTGCTCTGTGCTGAAGCAGTGCTCTCAGAGCTAGAGCTTTCCAGACAGCAGAGATTATGAATTTTGCTAATTTTAGGGCTATATGGGTACTTTGAGAGGCAATAAATACTTGTGCACAAATACATTACTTGATATGCATGCCCTCTATAAAATGACATTTCTGATATTAGGACTGCTTTAAGGTTTGCTTTTCAAAACCAAGTTATTTATTCTGAAGGTTAACATTTTAACTGTCTAGATCAGTGGCCTTCAAACATTTTAAACAAATGGCCAGTTTTAGGAGGGGCCAAACTGTGGCCAGTGGGAGTAGAAAATGCCTTTACATCAGTGGGAGTAAACAATGCCCCAGGCTTGGTGTTCAGTGGGAGTAAAAAAATATCACATAACTGGTGTCAGGAGGAGGAATAGTGCCCCATCATTGGTATCAGTTGAAGGAATAGTGCCCCATCATTGGTGCCAGTGGGAGAATTATTTCCCTATCTCTGCTGTCAGTGGAAGGAATACTGCATTGGGGGTCAATGGGAGGAGTAGTGCCCTGTCTTTGGTGTCAGTAGGAGGGATAGTGCCCCATCATTGGTGTAAGTGGGAAGGAATAGTACCTAGTCACTGGTGTCAGTGGGGGGAATAGTGTCACACCATTGGTGTCAGTGGGGGGAAAATGCCCCATCATTGGTGTCAGTGGGAGGAATAGTACCCCATCATTGGCGTCAGTGGGAGAACTAGTTCCCCATTATTGGTGTCAGTGGGAGAATTAGTTCTCTATCTCTAGTGTCAGTGGAAGGAATAGTACCCAACTGCTGGTGTCAATTAGTGCCCCAAAGGTTGGATAAGGTAAAGCAAAGGGACACATCCAGCCCACTAGCCACAGTTTGGAGACCCCTGGTCTAGATCATGAGAAATTAAATACACAGGGCTTAACTCAACCTGTATATTATTAGACTTTTATACTTTATATTGTTAATGCCATAAGTTTAAGGAGAACTCCAGTCAGTAAACAAAAATGTCCTTATAGGAGAACCCCCTCCTCCTAGTATGATAATGCTCTAATGCTCATTGCCTTTAGAGGGGAAAAAACGGAGAGGAATACTTACCTTATTTTTTGCTCCCCCCGCAGCTGTTACTCTTCTCAGTTCTAGTTCTAATATGTGGGGCCCTTCTATGTCCTCAAGTGTGGTGCTGGACCGCTGGTCCTGCATTGTTGGTGATGACATCACCAAGGAGGCCTGCCACATGATTAGAGATGTAGAGTCGCTTCAGGGCAGTGGTCTTCTGGGAGGGAGGACCATGGAATAATATGAAATTATTCTGTCTCTTGCATGCTCCTTATGTTAGAGGAGCGTTGATTCCTTACTATAGAGGGTACAGGCTTACCAATAGAAGAAATTCTTTGAGCTGACCAGAGTTCAGCTTAAATTTATGCTGAGGCCCATCATAACAAAGAGTGTTTATATTCGATGTCTATATGTCTTCTAAAGTCCATGGCTACAATTCTTTTGGTGTCTAGTTCCATCATAAGTTGGCAGAGTGGTTAGTGCTCCCAGATGTGGTTCAATACACACCCCAGTACTCCAGCTGTGTAACCTTGAGCCACAAATCCTGAAAATACTTAAAACAGACCCATCCAGAAGTTGTTTTTCATTTATGGGTAGAATCCGACAAGATCTCCACCCCATTTTATAATATATTTTTGGGACACCAACACAATTATCTCTGTGTAAAGATGGAATGTCTTAACACTTCAATTTTGTTTATAAGACTGATATAACATATATAATTGCAATGCAAACCGTTGTGTAATTTGATTACACACTATATAAATTTAGCAAATTATACACGTATGAAAGCAAAATAATAGTACTAACCATTATACATTCCCTTTAAAGCAGGCATGTCAAACTCAAGTCAAGGACGGGTCACTAAGGCAGTCACACCTTCATCCATGGGCCACACGTAAACAGTTATCATTGGTAATTTCAAATATTTAAAATGTCAACTTTTATTAGCATTTATTTTAATTTCTAAACATTGCATTATAAAAACTTGCCCCATCTAACTCAAATTTACTGCTCTTGATCATCAGAAACTCACTGCCCACCACCTTCTTTAGCTCAAATTCACTGTCCAGCATCTTCACACTACTCGCTACCCACACAACCACCTTCAAACAAATGACAAGGTTAACAAATACAAACTTCAGCTGCATGCATAGACCCACTATAGCCAGTGAATACCTTGTTTGTTACGGTTGTGCTGATAATCACGCACTCCCACTACCTATCAGTCACTGATTGAAGCAGTGGCCACAGTTAAGAGTGACATGTGGTGAGCAAGTCTTCTGCTTACCACCACCACCTTCATTGTGCAGAGACAGGCACCTTCCCTGCAGCTCGCTGAAAGACTCCTCTACCTACTGAAGGTAAATTTTTGACATGCCTGCTTTAGAGTAAATGTCATTCATCGAGATTAGGGGCCAACATTTTTGGGTCTGAAATAACTATAAAAAAAATACTGACATTCATTAAAGCAAACCTGTTCTTAGAAAACATGTAGGCTGCTATTGCTGACCTCTTCTGGCAAAAATGCTAGTTGCCAGGCTGTTATGCTCCTTTAACACTTTCTGTGTCACTGACTCTGAACATATATCTAGATCAGTGATCTCCAAACAGATGCAGCCCTTTGCTTGCCTTTATCCGGCCCTTGGGGCACTTTCTCTCCTACTGATGTGAGGAGTCTTTTCCCACCAGTGACACCAACGATGGTGCACTATTCCTCCCGCTGACACCAACAATGAGGCACTATTCCTCCCATTGACACCAACGATGGGGCACTATTCCTCCCACTGACACTAACAATGGGCCACTGTTCCTTCCACTGATCCCAACAATAGGATACTATTTCTCCCACTGTTACTAATGATAAGGCACTATTCCTCCTCCTACTGACCACAGGCACTATGTATCTTTTCTATCCCCACTGACCACAAAACCTGAGGCATTGTTTGCTCCCAATGGCA